TAAAGGTACCACTTTTTTCCTCCCCGGTTCTAAGTTAGTCGTTTACTCGGTTAACGAGGCCCTCCGTTTGCAATGCATGGATTATTCGTAAATTTTTCTATCAGAGCTCGGAAATGCTCATGCTACAAAGCTGCTCAAATGAGATTTCCATAATCCTCAGCATTTCCAACTCAACCTCATCACAACAGATAACCACTGCCTATATAGTCAAAAAATCCCCAAAACACATGGCGCCAAACAGCCCCCTGGACCTCCCGGCATTCCAACTAACATGCAACAGCAAATTCGGCCCCAAAGCAGGGCATTGGGTTAAGGTAAATCTGAACATACTACCCAACACCCTGCAAAACCACCAGTGGAGAAAAGTGAGTCATGCGAGGCACCAGCACCAAAGGACAAAAAAATAGAAGAAAAAACAGGACAACCCAACACTCCTCAAATTCGAGGCGTTAGATATGATACAGGAGAGAAGATAAAAATGCATTTTGTTCGCATAGTGATTTGCTTTTGGTACAGAAGGCACCACCATTCCGCAGGTAAGAGAGGAGCCAAAGGATCTGTGTTGCTGACCACCAGCGAAATGGAATCAGAGTATAATATAAGGTGCTCATGACATTGGGTAGCCCCCCCTATCAATACAGCGATTGAAACACCACGCAGACAGCATCCGGCATCGCATGCACTAGAGCCCTCCTGTCCAGCATTTGCTCGGTGGTTGCGGTTCATAACGACGTTCGAAATCAACGAAAATCCAGGCTTAACATCTTCACTTGGTGACATTCCAAGGATTCAAGGGGATCCCCAAAAGCCGAGATACCCCCCACCGAGTGTAACCGCCTTTTCTTTTCCATCGGTACCTCACCTCTACAATACTAAAAATGGAGTTCCACCCTAACCCCGAGGTCAAATCCCTCGATCAGCCAGACCAGATGAGTAGCCCTTCGGTAGCCCTGGGTCGAGCCCCACAGTTTACTGGCTATATCCGGGTTAGTGATGACCCAAGTAATCTCTCCAGTGGGTATGAGAGCGAAATACCTGCCACTTCTCCTTTCCTGCGAGGGTACTAGACATTGCAAGCATTTTTGAGAGTAGGTGTAACCGAAACAGGTAAGCACAGGACAACCAGATCCAGTGTGTTGGAATTGGCGAAGAAATGTCCCAGGAAGCAATGATGAATGCCTTGGTTTTATGGAGGGAAACACGAGAACGATGGAATGAGAGATAGGATAAAAGCAATTTACATGGAGCGGAGTCAAGAGATGAGAAGGAAGAAGTGCCAAGGGATGAGGGGTCAAGTGGACAGGTAGGTGAGTGGCCTGATGAGGCACGTGGTTGTTTGCTTGGACAGTGAATGTGAGGCCCTATGTAAGATAGAAAGAACAAACCTAATGGAGAATCATTCAACATTGCACAGCCTAGGTATATAAGCACCCACGTATTCCTAAACAGGTCCATCACATCTGGTACTTAGTCATCTGTACATATTCAGCACAGTGCTCCAGCATGTTACCGAGTGAGCGATCGTGACTCTCGATTAGTTATTCAGTCAATCTAGTCCACACAACTCTCTCAATTGTGTCAGATTCCACCCACACAACACCGCCAGCCTCTCTCGTCCATCAAGAGAGAATATTTCCCATAGGGTGGCTCCTCGTATCAACCCCGAGTGTATCTTCTCTCTCCATCATCCCATACTACTACGCTAACACTATCCATCTTCATCCAAGGGTTCGATCGAGCGAGCATCGGTGAAGACTCCCGAGCTCCCATTCTCCTTTCCAGCCCCAATTATATGCCCTCAACATACCCGCCAATACAACACGCATAACTCCCGTGGCCACAACACTCCCGAGAGTTTTGACAGCAGAAAAACCAGAACCCCCACACACATCCCAGCATCTGAGTACAGACCATAATGGGCCGTCCCCACCCCTCCACTCTCCAAGGACTTATACCGTGGCCAACTACCCGGCAGTTTTTAAACCTCCGGAATATAAAAATAAAAAAAGTAATCCAGTAGGGTATACCTGACGGCTTCACAGGTGCCAGGCTTTGCGGGAACAGTCGGAGCCTGGGCCCCAATCACTTAACGCACGCCCCGGTGGCTATATGAAATGGCCAGTACCCTCCCACGCCCCCAAAAACACCTCTGCAGCCACCACTATACAAAATAATTTGGCTTAAGTACCCAGACACAACCAGCCCAATGAGCATAGAGCACTGACACCTCATAAAGGATACCGCATTACTAGTCAATGCCTCTTCGGGTATTGTGGCAATGAAAACTTCTGAAGAAAAAAAAAAGGAATCACGGTTCTCGAATTGCCTCGGGCGTGCATATGCGAAGCTCCCATTTGAGTGAGAATCACAAAATATCATTCGCTCAAATCCTCCCTCTGTCGACGAATCGAGATTGCCGGATGGCGTGAGACTGATCTGGGCGAAAAACTAGCCTGGCAGCACATGATATAAGTTGAACTCGTTCCGGAATAAACCGATGCTCAATCTGTGGCGTCCAATAGGGCGTAGCGACTCCAAAAGTGCCGTGATCTTCACCGCTAGGTCTTAGGTGCTGGGGTCCGGGGGTACCATAAGATACCTTTAGTCAACGGTGCCATATCCAGCGAACGTATAGAAAGCAAGCCGAGAATATCCGAAGTATAGGAGTAGAATTCAACTCCATTAAGCTATGGGGAGCGCAGTGCAAGATCGATCCAATGAATCAACAATTCGGCATTGGGAAGTAATTAACAAAAAGGCACATTCAGGGGCTCCTAGGGATCGCCCTCCTAACTAGTCTCCAGTGGTCCCGTGGGATGCTTGTTGATGATCACCCCCGAAACTATAACCAGAAGTAACACCCAAGCCACCAGGATAGTGACGGCTGCTCCGATCAGCCGTGACTCCCTACTTCCTAGGAAATAGAAACTTATTCTAAATCCTACAAAAAGAGCCACAGGGGCTACGAAAATATATCACTACCTTTATGGTATTAAACTCAAAGATCATCCCTGTAGTAACAGGAAGTTAGTGGTGTGTTAGTAATCCTCCTTGGCTATGGGGCAACACCAGCAACAATAGAGTGGGGGTTGAGGCATTTATGTCGACCCCACGATGCGCGCTTGAAAAGTTTTAATGGCCGCGGAACAAAGGAACTTCAGGGCAACCAAATCAGGTGATAATAGATGATTGGAATATTTTTCTGATTCAGATTGCCCAGATCTGTTCTTCCCGAAGCAACCACCTTCCCCCATTTCGCGGCACAGCCAGTATTTTTGTTTTTATTTCCCCCAATTTTCGTGACAAACTACGGTAGCGAGCTCCCGAAGACGGAGCCCCTCAAGCGGCGCGCCTGCGCACATACCTTATTACAGAATAACATTCAACCCCCGATCCGATCGACTCTCATTTCCGCGTGGGCACGGCAATCCCCAACATACCAAGATCAAAATCAAGATCATCTTCTCTGCACAAAAAGTCTCCCCTGAGGACGGATTACCAGTGAGACGTTGTGCATGCCCCGCCCAACTGGCTCTGACACCTGTCAGTACAGTAGCGTTGGGTACAAGAGCTAAATGCAACCACCTCTTTGGATAAAAGTTTTGTCTTACAATGGCCTCACCCCACCCCGGCTGAGCTAGGCTAAGACAACTTGGCATAATTAAGCTCATAAAATCCCGAGTGGCGGTGACTCCCGAGCCGTTGTGGAGATTTCCAGGGTTAGGTAAATAAAGTTAGTAGGCGAAGACAACCTCATTCCACGCCCAAGCCAATCTAGCGCGCTTCCTCGACCCTTAAAGGTATTATAAGGAACGAAGTCAAATACCAGTATTCCCCCCAGCCCATCAGCACTCACTCGTGTCTTCTTCGGGATTCCCTGGCCGGTAACTCCATTCCTTCTTTCCTTTTTATCACTCGTGCGCGCTTCTGATCTCAGAGGATAGGAGGGCAACCTGCAACTGCCTCTCCTCATGCGCAGTGAAACATGGGGTTCCCTCGGCCTCTCACTGGCCTTCCATTCTCACTGGCTAGCTAAGTTGTCCTTAGATTCGTCCGTCTAATGTGTCCTCAAGCGCAGAGCGATGACACGTGTGCCGCAGTCTAACACAAAGGGGTGCACACGAGCACATATGCCACAAGCTACGAGCACGAGTAGAGCGTGCGCCGATAGGGCCCACCAGCGGAGTTCGGATATATACTATCCCGATTGGAAAGCAGGGATGCCGACTTTTTTTTCGCTTTTTCGGTTCTCTCTAGCCCCTATAGACATCTTTCACATATACGAGTGTGGGTGGTCAAGGTGTTTTAGCTGGGAATTCGCCGTGCCCAATTGCAATTGCGACGGATCGGTCCCATGGACTACAAAATAGGCCTACGTACAATACAAACTCCAGTGCTCGTACCGTATTCAGATAGCGATACGCGAAAATACGCCGATCATTGGTATTGCCACTGTCCCCCATCCCCGTACGGCATAGTCTGCGGAGCGCTTGCAAAGGGTACCAATCCGAAGCCACATTTATTAAAACGGAGATCCGGTGAAGAGCTAACAAGGTATGGTCAGGTTAGACACTAAGGTAGGTCCGCACATCACTAAGCCCTTGAAAGAGTTTTAATTCGGTAACCGCGGGACCACAGATTCTTCGCTCGCTTGCTATCACCCGCGCAATAGGCTCCTTGCTTTCTTCCTGCAGATTCAACGTTCCAGCACGCAAGAAAGTGGCGGAAAGCACAAGTTTCCAAATCCGTCTAGAAATCACTAAACGGGTTCTTTACCCTTCTCGGTTACCAGTCCACCGGTGTTACACAGAGAGGCCTCCGCCAGTACCGTAATCACCCAAAGATGCCTGGGGCGGTTTCTTTTTCCGTCTTCCTCCAATAATCCAGCCTGTTTAGTGACCGCCAGAGTTCTGAATTCAGTTCTCACCAATTGCGTGAAAAATCTGATAAGATTGGGTTTACTCGTTGGAAGGGGCTAGAGCGACGTTCTTCCCACAGTTATTGCGATCATGGCTTCTAACGCATAGGCATTGGGTCCTCGCACGGACCTGGATCCACCTCAGCTCCCCCGATTCGGGGAAACCATTCGGCAGATCCGTTTTACGGCTTTTCTTGCTAGTGGTGTTGCTGTTCTCATGCTCTTTCCTTTTTCCTCTTTCTTGAAGTTTCTTCAATATTTTGAAGTTCGTGTGCCTGGTGATTGTTCCCTTCCCTTAGCACCTCTTCGCGATAAGAACCTTTCATACAATTCGCGGTCTATCCTGCTTACCCGTGCTCTTGCATTCCGACACTTCTTTCCTAACCGTATTTACGTGATCTAGGGATAGGTATATATATGTTGGTCGGTTGTGCAGCTAATAAGTCCCCCTGAAGTCTCTCCCTTGATCCAACCCTGAATCGTTAGAGGACTTGCTTCTCACTATCGGCAACTCACTGCTCTCAGGTTTTCATATATATAATTTCAAGGAGTTGCCTATCACCTCCGGTCAAAGTTCTGTGGGTGCTGGAGCTCACATGTCTTCGTTACCCTCGCCCAATATAGCACCTAATGTTGAGACGGGACTCTTAACGGGCAGCTCAAGTCAAGAAGGACTACAAAATCACCCCATGGAGGCTGATGTAAGTCACTCCTTTCCCATTTCTCTTTCATTATCATTCATACTTTTATAGTCCCCCTGAAATCCCCCCCTTTGCTGCATTGGCGTCACCTAGTGGTGTCCTGCGTTTGAATAAAAAACTAAAAAAAATAACGCCTGGAACCATTCTCGAGGCCACTGCTGTGCCTGGCCGATAGCACACAGTTGGGGTGGGGGTCTTTCGAGAGACTTCCCCTATGCTGACTCTTCAGGATACAACAATACCGAATCCAGACTTACTGACAAGTTCAGAGTACCGCATCAGACGCCTCGGATGACCATGGGATTGGCGACGATTTGTACGGACCTTCCATCTTCTTCTGAACATTACCTAATAGTGAACACAATAGATCCACGTATACCGCTAGTCTTGCCTCCACCGTCTCTGACTATCAATATGAAAACGGTCGCAGGTATAATGGATACCGTCGAGGAAGTAAGTTTTGTTTTTTTCTGAACTCGAGCAGTTTTCAAGCGTATTAATCCTACAGACTATGTATTCCCAAATGATCAGGCAAATCGCATATCCCTCTCCAGAAATCGTTCCGGGAACTAATGGGGACACAGCAAGAAATTGAAAGGCTTCACCTACAACACCATATGATATCTGTTCTATTCAGCGGAAGGCTGCACTGGGCCCCTATCGACCCCAATCCACAAAGGATACTGGATATCGGTACTGGCACCGGATCATGGGCAGTAGATATTGCGGATATGTATCCCTCAGCCCACGTATGTGCCCCATAATAGGCCTCGGGGATAATAATAAATATGTTCGGAACGGAAAAATCGAACTAAAATATTGAGCTACAGGTCATCGGAACAGACTTAAGCCCTATCCAAAGCCACTGGGTCCCGCCGAACCTAGTCTATGAAATTGATGACGCAGAAAGCGAATGGACATACAAGCGCGACTCTTTCGATCTTGTTCATACCCGCTTCTTGACAGGAGCATTCGCGGATTGGCCAAAATTCACAGAAAGATCATTCAGGTTTCTCTCCCTCCTCTCCTTCCCCCGTTTCTTTATTCACAGCCTAACTTTTCATCAGAGCTCTAAAGCCCGGGGGGTGGATTGAATGCCAGGAAATTGAAAGCCGAATCCTCTCAGACGACGGAACTCTTCCACCAGACTCAGCCCTTGCAAAATGGAGCCAACTTCTCATCGAAGCAGCAGAAACTTATGGACGCAGCGTTATGGCAGCTGCTAAATTAGCAGATTGGATGGAGGATGCGGGATACGTGAACGTTACCAACCGATGTTTCAAAATCCCGAACAATGCTTGGCCCAAAGTCTCTCCCTCCCCCCCACCCCAGACCAACTTTCTCAGCCCCGTGTCCCCGTCCTCATTCCTTTTTTTCTTTCACGACCCAAGTTAACTAACAAAAAAATGAGGAACAGAACCCAAAAATGAAGGAAGTAGGGATGTACCAAATGGTGAATTTCTTGGATGGCTTACAGGCTCTCACAATGGCACTGTTCACGCGGGCGCTGAGGTGGACAGCAGCTGAGGTGGAGTCCTTCCTGGTAGAAGTGCGGAAGGATATTAAGAATAAACATATTCATTCCTATACTAATTTGTACGTTTCGTCCCTCTCTCCATTTCCATACCTTCTCCTGTGTCCCCTTGTTGTTCGCACGCTAATGAAAAGGGTGGGTAGTTACGTTGCTTACGGGCAAAAACCGGAATAGTGCATGTGGTATCACTCGACCCCAAGGATTAAGGAACAATGGGTTGGAATCAATTGTAGTGATGCAGCTGAAAATCGGGCGGGGATATCGGAGGCCAATAGCATATTATCAAACATTCTTCCTTCTTCTCCGTTTCCATATCGCCCCATGAATATACCGGCATCCATCACATCAAATACCTCCCCGCAACCCCGACAGGGAGTGAGCTGGTATCATACTCCAGGTTAGACTAAACCCTATCGAATTCGTGTCTCGCACAGTAAACCGACCTCCAGACTCCACCACCACACCACCACAATCCAACGACCCCAAATCGTGACCCAGTGTCATACGGTAGACCACTTCCTCCTACCGCTCCCAATCCACCTAGTAGTATCATATATACTCGAGTAACATCAGGGTTATCCACCGGTACCTCATCCCCAGCACCGGTTAATCCCAGCAAACCACAAGAAATTACCCGGGCGCTCCTGTCTCAATACCGTCTTTTCACACAGCACGCGTGTACCCGACGAACCGGCCACCGTAGCCGAAAAATCCCACCCGCGTGACTAAATTTTCACCGCTCGCTCCGGATCGGGTACTAGCGTATGTAGAGCGGGCTGTTCTCGGCGAGGTAGGGAAGGAAGGCACCCGTATTCGGCGGTGGGTGGGTGGGTGGGTGTAGGCTCCGGTATAGGGGCGTCGAATAGGCATGTAGCACGAGCCCGGGAGGAGGCACAGTAATTCCATATATGATGAGGTGGGGGTAGTGCAGCGCATTCCGAGCCATACATACAAGTATCACCGTTTGCGTCCGAAAAATCAGTGGATCGGTAATCGAGGTGTGTACCACACTGAGCTAGCACGGTACAGTACATGTACTAGTACTGTACTGTGTCGCAGTGTCCGCATATTTGTACCCGTATGATATGTCTTTCCTATCCGCGTTACATGGTACCGGTACTCTCTTAACGCTAGCCATGCGGCCTCCATTTTCCACCCTCTCCGGCCCGCCATAAGCGCTTTTTAGTGTTTATCTATTATCTTGAGCAGTGTATCCTAGTACTGTACCCGTAGCCCAATCCACATGCTCTAACGCTTGCAGCGTTAATACCATGGCATCACAGTAGATTACATACATGTATCGAAAACGAAACTTGAACTGCCATTAGTTCCCGTGATTTGGGTTCCTCCAGTGGGGTGCAGTAGTCTTGATTACGGCTACCCCTCAGGGAACATTTCCAAGCGCATTGCAGACAGGTGCGAGTACTAGAATGTTTGGCCTGTCGGTGGACCGGAAGGGATCCATAAACCCCCGGTACAGTACTCGAGCACTTCAAAACATCACCAGCGCTCTGGAGCGGGAAAGCGAAAGGGTGAAGAAGATATTTATTCGTATTCTCCTAATCCGATTATTTTAAATGTGTTTGGGTATGCACAATATCTTCCTAGTATCCAATAGATCGATAGGGGTTAGCGAGAAAGAGAGAATTGATCACGCCAGGCATTCCTGGAAAGTTTATAGCACCCGTGCTAGACCTCAGCATCGTTACTGGTCCCCCGGATGTTTTATATGGTGTTCTGAACAAGGATGGAACGAGTACTTGTTGGTTGTAGGCGCGGGGGATATTCCTGATCCCCATAACTCTCAACTGACCTGACTTTCCTCCTTTCGCAAAGACGAGAGAGTAAGTCCTAGGGAGGAGAGAGAATCTATATCCTAGGTACCGGTATATGAACTAGGGGGGGGGGGGTACAGTATTTAATCGGGATGGAATAGAGCGGGTTTGGGGGCGCTGGGATATGGCAAAAGTGTTAGGTTGGCTGGAATGCGCGGGACAAGAATCATATGGCCGGGGAACTGGATGGGTTAGCAAACGCCGCAGCAGATATCCCTTCAATGGTGGATAATGCATGTCTCGGAGATGAAATAATCATAATCCCCGGGGCCCGGACCCGATCCGTTACAATAGACCATTTACTAAGGATATGGCATTTCTTCCCGGAGTGACCCAAGTTTAATTTATCCACAAATCCGATAGACTATCGTACAGTACTGCAACCCCCACGATCATTCATTTGATGCAGTATCAGCAGGCATCCTTATCCTCACGTATTAATAGTACAGTACAAGCACTATATATCCCAGCTCACTGCCATCGCAGCCCATCACCCACATGATAACCTGAGTGGCAGGGCCCGCACGCCTGGATATAGAGCATTCCCCTCGCTTAGGTAGGCTCTGCAGCACTATCACGACGCTCGAGCACATCCATGCATCGCTGTGCTTTTGCTACGCGAGAAAGCTACTAAAGTGCCAGACCAGAACGCTTCGTCCCCATCGGCTTTCACGCCGAGTGGGGTGAAAAGCGGATACGGTACTCCCCGGAGACAACCCCCAAACGCTGCCCTATTCAAAATAATCAGAATCTTGACGGCGGCTAGAAAACCACTTTGCACCCAATCGCACGGAAGTATGGATACAAGTAAAATTGGGTTCATCCCCCAATATTTATCACTTGGTGTGAAAGTGTCTTAAAAAAATTTTGTGCAATGCCTCATATAATTGTACCTCTACAGTGCTGTGCGGCAGCATTATTCGAGTACTCGTACGAGTACACCCACGCTCGCCAAGTTCCGATACCGCCGCAAGCACCACAAGCCCTTGGAAACGACTCGCTAACCCTCTCTTTTTCATCATTCGGTAAAACAAATTATGACGAAATTTTACAATATCCCTCGAGAAATATCCGAAAAGACTTACCTGAAAAGTTCGCGCTGTTCTCTTGTTGTCAATAGGTATAATTCTTGGGATATTTCTACCGGTACATGGAAGGGTATGAGAACTTTGCGAATGGGAGTGTACTGTATGTACAGCACCATACCCGTGCTGTACAGTACTAGTACTGTACCGTCAAAACTCGAATAATTGGACCCGGTTTCATGTAGTCCGAAATTTCCTCCTACGGAAAGGGGGAAAAAAAACACAGCCAAAACACAAGCCCTTGCCATCCTCTGAGACGGAAAAAAAAAACAAGAATTTCTTGACCTTACTGAGAGAGGAAAGCCCAACGGCGGGAAACCGGGTCCAGTTATTCGAGTTTTTACTGTGCATCATACTAGTACTGTACATAGCAATCGCAGATCCCCAACTTAACCTCACGTATCCCCCATGGCTTTATAATCCTCAAACGCTGTATCCAGAGACCAAACCAAACTCAACCGGTTCATCAAGTTTTTCCGGGGCGCCAATATAGCTACAGGAGATTAGCGCCGCCAGAAGGGGGATAGGGAGCCAAACGGTGGTGGTTCATAGTTAGTGCTGCGCAGTGTCAGAGAATTGAGAATACACGTAGGGGATGATGACGATATTCGTAGCACTACTTTTGTTTGCTAATTCGAAATTCTGCCCCCCTTCTATGGGCAATGAGGATATAAATAAGGGGCTAGTAAAGACATGATGGAAGAAGGAAAGAGAGAGAACACGAAGACAGAGGGCGAGCATTACTGGAATTTTTCTTTTCCCTTTTTCTTCAGGGGGGGGTTTCTTCTCTCTCCTTAAGCAGTCTATTTTACAGGTGACTGGTTGGATTGGAGGTTTATCCCAGAACTAGGTTGCACCTCACCCCATTAGCATCTCTTACTTCCTTAGACAACACCGTTATCAATGGAGCGCTTTTACCACCTGCTGTTTAGGTACAATACAGTACTACTGCTTCCAAGGCTCTCCCTCTCGGGTACCCGAGTACAGGTGACGACGAACAGAATTATCTGTGCCACCACCCGTCAAAGAACGCCGAGGATCGGGAGAGACCCGACAGTAGCTTACCGATCGGTTCGGGAACCTTTAACCACACGATAAGGGTTGTCGGAGCTGTCTCCCCCGGCCCTATCTAGCGCAGTCGGGGCCATTATCCCATAGTTGATGCTGTCAGAAAGGCTTCCTCAGCCGTTCTCAGGATGGCAGTGGCCAAAACCCCATTTTTCGGGTATTTTGCTCTTTCATCACATCGAGGAAAAGGAGGCTTTCTAGCCAAGCCCAGGTTGGCACCACCAAGGATGAGAAATTGGTCCTTGAGCCCTGCTTCAACGGGCGAAAAAGAAAAGAAAGTCATAAAGAAATGCAAAGTGCCGTACCGGCACAATAAGGGACTACCGAACCCCTTCAATCCTCTGCTAGAATATCGGTAAAGCCATCTGCGGAGAATTTAAAATTGGGATGTGATATCATACAAAATGGTTGGAAGGAATCGTTAGGATTCTCAGCCTTCACCACGATATTAACCTGGACTCTTCCGTGTCCATTATCAGACAAAAATATGGAAGGAAATTGCAGCATTCGCAATAACCCTGTCGTCGCGGGGGAGCAATCAATGGCCTAGATTAAAAAATCGGGCAAGCTCAGCAGGATTAAGTTGGGGAAGCCCTACGGTAACCTGAACATGGTGTGCCCGGGTGTGTCAGCAAAATCGGAAAACCGTTCTAGCTGATCCCGTCATTATCATACAAATCTTTACAGACACAGGTTATGCACCCCTACGGACATAACCGAGCCCTCAACCCATCTTACGAAAGGATTGTGGGGTACTGTACCCGATACGGCAGATGAGTGCCGTATGAGGAATCTCTCATGTTGGAGGATCTGATATAGGGTAAATTGATAGATTTCATCTCCAGCCCTGTCCTATCAGCTTCCTTCTAGCACCCCTAGAAGGCGGCTACCGATACCAACGTGAGATCTAATTACCGTGGGACGATCAACAAACATGATACTGTGCTTGTACTCTACTCGTATGCAGGGCCAGTTATATTCGCCATCAAGTGCTGAAATCATTTGAGATACACTAATTCCATTCAACATAGTTACCCGCAGCCGGAATCTTCCATCGCCCTCACTGGCGAATTAAGATTCCATGATCCCGGCAGAGTATTTAGCTTATGGGTTGTGGATATTACCGACCTACAGCAAGAAGTGAGATATCGCAAACTGGGGACTCCAAAAGGGCCCGGACGTAAACAATACCAGGAAAATTAGCCCAACCCGCAGAAGAAGTGAAATGATAGTAATTATAAGGAAAGAATTTGTAAAGAAATTATGGAATATAACCTGGTTCCATGCTCTCCTTCTCTTCAAGGCCAAGTCATGGAATTGCAATCAAGATAGCCACTCAATTCACACGCTTACTCT